TTTTTTCAAGTGTGACCACAATGAGATATTAGTGGTTAAATGAAGTTGAAAGTGAAAGAGCAGATAGCAACTTATCTAGATTGTCACCTACTGTCTCCAATACGGACACATATCCAAGTATCTGAGATAAATACAAATATTAGATAATCACTCTTTTTTAGCTGTGTAATAAAGCTTTGTTTTATAAGCCTCTGCCAGTGTGTAAATTATGGGCCATCTTTACGTGTCATTAAATGCATGAAATTCCAACAGAATTCAATGAGAATTTTGTAACATATTGCATGTACCTGATTCATAGATTGGAAGGCCAGCATCTAGATTGAGCTTTTTAAGTCTATCATTATAAGATATGTTTCCTAATTATTTAAAATTTTGTGTGGATCTTCTCTGAACACTCTCCAGTTTATCAATAACCTTCCTGAAGTGTGGACCGCTGGCCTGAGTATTGTATTCCAGCAGTGCTAGTACCAGTGCCAAACAGAGAGGTACAGGTTGGACCTCCAAAAACTGGGACCAGGAAATTCCCGCTGGGATTCCTGTGGCAGGAGGGCCGGCAGCTGGGAGCCCTGTTAGGCTGGGAGACCAGGGATGGGAGTGGCTCGCAGCAGCAGGGCTGGGACCTGACCATCCTGGCAGTGAAATCACCCCAGTAGCCAAAGTTGAGGACTGCTCCAGTGGCTAGGGCCTGCCCTAATGGCCAGGGCTGCAGCAGTTCTGGTAATGGAGCTTGGCAAGAGAGCTGGGTCACTGCAACTCAGCAGGGACAATGGCTGGGACAGCAGGGAGGGTTAGTGGGCTGAGGGGCTGATAAGAGGAAACCTTCCCTGCTCTGGCAAATTCCCTCGTTTGGGACGTTCAGGACCCAAGGGTGCCAGACTAGAGAGGTCCAACCTGTATAATAATCTCTCTGCTTCTGATTGAGATTCCCCCTATATATTTATCCCAGAATTGCAACACTGTACCTCTTTTGACCATATGGTGACCTTATTATCTACCACAATGATTTTGTCATTTTTTTAGTGCAAAAATGTATCAGTCTAGGACATAGGTTCCCAAACTGGGGGGCATGAAGAAATTTCAGGGGTAGCGCCAGGTGACCTAGTCACACACACCCTCGTCAATCCCACTCCAAATTTTGATGTTATTTTTTTGGAGGGGGGGAGGGCGCGAGGGTTTCTCAAAAATCAAAAAGGGGGCATAATGCCGAAAAGTTTGGGAACCACTGGTCTGGAAGTGGAACACTGAATATTGTAAAGACACAATGCGAAGGCTGATAAGTCACACACAAAAGAAGACTCAGTTCCTTAAAAAAAAAGACATTTCTATCAGCTTTTCTTAAGCCCTAAGCGCAGTTCATCTGTAACCAGCCACTCTATTCACAGCAAAGCAGAACTATAATTTTAATTATTCAGATACATTCCTCTCCCATGCGCCCTGATCAGTCTGACAGCTCTGTCCCATTTAGCCTGCAATCTGTAATACAGAATCTGCTCCGGTCTCTACATAGATGTGCTATCTAGTTTTCTCTTCCTCTTCTTCCCTTAGGGAGGATATTTTAATTGGATGCAGCACGTTTACTCGAACCATCTCTCTGCTCGCCTGCATGTTAAAATTCAAGTCAATGTGATGCAATGTGTATGAATTCAACCCGGTTCTGAACGGTGACTGGTTCCGCATCGCCAGCGGGGCAGGAAAGCCAACTGGCTGCACAGCATCATTTCCTAAAGCCCACTCGCGGCTCCTAGCCCCACTGGGGAACTCTTGTCCGGCCCGGGGCCAGGTCAGATTCTCTGCTGACCCGTGTGACGCTCCCCTGCGCGCCGATGCAGCCCGACCTGCGGCAGGGGGGGAGCAGGGCGAGGCTCGGGGCTGCACCCCGGCGCGCTAGGACCAGACACCGAGAGCTGTCAGTGCCCCTTTCCTAAAGCCCACTCGCGGCTCCTAGCCCCACTGGGGAACTCTTGTCCGGCCCGGGGCCAGGTCAGATTCTCTGCTGACCCGTGTGACGCTCCCCTGCGCGCCGATGCAGCCCGACCTGCGGCAGGGGGGGAGCAGGGCGAGGCTCGGGGCTGCACCCCGGCGCGCTAGGACCAGACACCGAGAGCTGTCAGTGCCCCCCCAGGGGCAGGGGCCGAGCCCGGCTGGAGCCCGCAGGCGAGGCGGGGC